GAACAAGAAACCCTGTCTCAGGAAGAATACAGACATATTCTGAATAGGTGTGTGGACAACAGAAATTAGAAAGGGTAAAGAATAGATTAAGTGGGTGGTGATGGAAAGGAAGAGGTTGCAATCAAGGAGCAGAAGTGTCAGAATGCAAGCCTGATAGTGGAACCGCTTGGAGTGACATCAGAACACAAGTCACCCAAAGGGCATTGCTAAAATAAAGTGGAGATGGGATTTTGTGCAGTTACAGATTGAAGACTCTGATCACTGTGCTAACATTGTGCACAATGTGAAATCATATACAGGGACCTTAGTCAAGAGATTTGCAGCCTAGTAAGAAAGAACGGTATGTAGCATGTAACCAAATAGGTTGAATACCAGGAAGGAAAATTACTGCAATCCAGAAACTGGGAAGTCTAGGAGCATTCAAGTGGGAGAGATACATTACAAACACAAGAGCTATAAACACCATCAAGGACACCAGGTGAGATGGTGCTTGCATGTAATCATATCTACTGGGGAGGCTGGGGTAGGAGGATTGCCAAGTTTAAGGCCAAACCTGGCAACGTGGTGAGATTCTGACTCAATTTAAAAAAAAATTAAAAAGGCTGAAATATAGCTCAGTGGTAGTGGGCAGTAATAGCATATGCAAAGCCCTGGGTTCAATCCTACCAAGCATCCCAAAGAAAAAGTAACATACACACACACACACACACACACACACACACACACACATACACATACACACATAGGTTGCATCTTGGTTAAACTCTTAAAAGTTGAATTGGATTTTGACAATTCACATTTTTATGAATTATCAGGTTTGCCAGGTGTGATGGTGTACACCTGTGATCCCAGAGGCTCGGGAGGCTGAGGTAGAAGGATAGAGAGTTCAAAGACAGCCTCAGGCTGGGGCTATGGTTCAGTGGTCACATGCCCCCAAGTTCAATCCTTGGTACCCCACCCCACCCCCCAAAAAATATTATCAGGTTTTAAGAAGCCTAGTCCAAAGTATTCAAAATACAAGAGTTAAAAAACAGGACACAGGTTGCCTTTTTATTTTATACCTAGAGAATCTATGGGTCTGAGAGTTAGAGAATTGACTAGCGGTGACCTTACAGATAATCAATGGAGTTGGAAATAAAGGTATTTTAAAAGAAATACTGCRAGAAACTATACAGTTGCTGAAGAGGGCTGGGCATATTGAAGGAATGGTAACCTAACTAGTTTCAAATCATGAAAGGGATTGGTGGATTTAAGGTTTGAAAAATAGGTAAGAAAACCAGTTTGGAAGGAATGTTTATGGAGTTCGTTAAGCAGCTTTATATTTGATCCTGAATATAAAATAAATGCTGAGACAGTGAAGCAAGGTAGCCTACACACGGCAGAAAAGAGTCTGGACCTGCTGCATGTGAATGGAACTCAGAAAGAATAGAAGACACTGTTGAAATCACTAACTGGAGAATTATGTATTCTTTTCTCTCTTTCCTTCAATATACCCCCCTCCCAACTAAATAATTATAAAACCAGTAAAATGACATAATTGGAGTACATTTGARTCAATCCTCTCTCTGACATGCACAGAGCCGCTTTCTTGAGATTTTTATCATTGTTCATTGGTGCATATTGCAAGAATACTCTTCTCATTTGTCTTTTGACCTTCCTTCTCTTTTCATTTCCACTTTCTTAAGGACACCAAAGAAAACTTTCTAAAAAAGTGAACTTTTCAGTCCAATGCTTAACCATTAGCATTAGCTCTCCCCCACTTTCCGGGGGTGGTAGAAATGTCCTAGCATAATTTGGAAAGCTCCGGCTGGCTAGGTCTTACTTTATCACCAACGTTCCGTACACATTGCGATATGTTAAGTAATCTGTAATTCTCACTGTTTCTCAGGCCTCTGATATTTGTCTTTGGATTAATTATCTCCTGTTTACAGTTTATTATTTCCTTTGCCTACCSCAGTCCAGCTGTTTCACAGCTTAGCTTTAAAACCCTGGAGGAATTCGGACTCTGCCCCRTCTTTTATAATCCATTAAAAACTGATTGAATCAACTAATTTCCAACATCCTTAAAAATCCCTTGAACTAATTGTTTCATTTTTAGTCTAATATSTTATTTTCAATTTCATATATTCTCATATTTTATCAGTTCACACAGTTTCCTCACTTGCCTAACAGGACCACTACACAACACAAATCCAACTCTCCATGCAAAATTCAGACATGTCTCTTGTGCATTGTATACCTCTCTGCAGGATGCATGAAGCCCTCCTCTCTCTGAGCCAGATTTCCTGCGTTAATCTCCCAGGATGCCCACTCAAGGATGTGGCCAACCAGCCTTGCCAAATGATCTATTTTTGTCTCTGAAACTCTTGTTCCTCATGTACAAAAGCCCTTCTCTCTGCCATTTCCTCTCCTATTTACCACCCCCTTAAAATTAATATCTTCCTAYATATGCCTTCCTGTGGTATAAAATCAAGAATGAATCAAAACATGAATTAATTGCACTAATTAGAAATGTTTGCATATTCATGTATATGCATATGTTAGATTGAAAGATATTTACAAATTCTTATTGGAAGCAGTGCATTTTTCATACAAGGAAGACTAAATTTGTATTTTTAAATAAATAAAACTATTTTGAAATTCAGCAACATTGGAGAATAGTTTTTAATGCCAGAGAAATGATAAAAAATCATTAGAATCCTTAAAAATGGAGAGTAGAAAAATCAATCTGAACTCAAAACTTTAGATTATTCACCTATTTATTTAAGCAACATTTTATTGGCATACATGCATTAAACTAAGAATCATAATTTGCTCTGGGTATACTCAAGTCTATGGTTACCATTTCTAAATTTTAATGTGTCAGAATATTAATGAGTAATGAAGTCTTTTGATTTCAAAAAGTGTACTATTAAATAAGATGATGCATAAAAGACTGACTCTTATTGTTTATATCATGTCAAAGAATTATATTTTCTGAAGGCTGCAAATAAAAACAAAAGTACTTCAGTTATTACTAAGAGGTTAATGAAATGATGTCTRTATGGTGACATTCTCACCAAGTACCCCATGTTAATGGATTATTCAAAGGGACATTATTCATAGAACTTCATGATTTTTTAAATAGGTGCATCCTACCAATTACTCAGCAAATGTGGGTTAAATTTGTAAGKTTTATCACTCTCATTTATATTTTGGGGAAACTGATGCCCAACTAAGTGGACTAATTTGCCAACACTCTTCTTTATTCAGTGGTAGAGAGAAGCATAACCCAAATAACTGTAATCTTTATGATCAGACTATTTTTTAAGAGATGATACTTAATCAAAGAATCTGTACAAGTGCTTTGTGAAAGGGTTAGTTTCCATTTMTTTATAAGAGTTGACATAAGATGTAAAGATGGTTTTATGTCAACATATAGGTCTTGGTTCATAAAAAGCTAGTTTTTCAGAATTATTCTACCTAGGAATTGTGTCACATATATGATTTGATATGAGTGTGTTCACTTTAATCAGTTAAAAATATCTAGCTGCCATGATTCAYTTGTAGAAGAGAGGACGAATACTTTTAATGCATGCTTTGATTTGCAGCACATGAAGCAATGGTTATGCTAATTAGCAGAAAGAAATGCATATTACTAAACTCAAATTAGTTCTCATTTCCCAAGGCTGGTTGAGCTTCTGTCTGGATATTGTAAATGTCTTACTCACTGTTGAACATTAGAATTAAAGTTAAAAATGTACATGTGCATTTTTAATATACTTTTCTTGTTGTGCATTTTTTTTCCTGGCCACAAATTCAAAAGAACTTTCTTTCAAAGAGACAGATAACAATTGTATTCCTACAGGGATTTTTGTATATTTAAAAGAAAAAAAAATAGATATTTGAACATGTTCCTGTTTTCAGTAAAAAATGCTGTGTCAAGTATATGAGAACTACTTTCTCTAAAAATATTAATAATTTGAATGCAGTGTTCTTTGGATGCTGAAGGCTTAATTCTGTGTTCAGTTCTAAGATGGGAAACATTCTCAAAAGAAAAGGGAAGAACGTGAATTAATTGTGAGCCAGATATATGTTCTCTGGCTTTTCCTTTGAGGTAGTAAATAATGTTAATACCCACAAATGCTCAGTAGCAAAATACAAAAGGGCAAGGGATATATAATTTTGGAGAAAATATATAATTTATTGTAATTTGCATATAATTTCAAAGGCTGAGATGCAAAGGTTTCTTATTGCTTCACAATCTGCTAGGATTTAAATATAGTTTGTGCATTTCCTAAAGTGTATTGTGTTACACAACAGGGTAATTCTGAAAGCTGAGGTATTTGACTAGCTTTCATTCATTCCAGGATTCTATCTCTTCCTGTCTGTTAAGTTTATGTCTAAGCATTGGAAGAACTTGATGTGGGACAAAAAAAAAAAAAAAAAAAAAAAAAAAGGAGGAAATCATTCAGTATTGAAGTTTTAGGGAGAAACTTTAAGTTCTATAGTACGTTGTAAGCAATTTTCAGGAAGGCATCATTGACTTTCCTTTACCAACAACAAAAATCAATAAAAGACCATACAGATAGTAAGATAGGTCATTGCATTTTATGAAAAAAGTTTGGTGTTACAGAAATTCTCAACATTGACACAAATTAAGAATGTAAGCATTTAGAACCAGAAAGGAGATATGACCTTGAGTTCCCACTCATGTTTGAGAAGATGGATAAACAGAGATTGAGAGTGAAGAACTAAGGATTAAGTTCTGCAAGCTTAGATTATCCAAGTGATTTTTATGTCATGTATGATATTTGTTTGTTTGTGTTTGTGCTCTATTTGTAAGTCAGTAACACACCAAAAATGTCAAGAGGAGATGACAGAAGCTAAAATAATAAAGAGAGTGTTTGTAATTTTATTGCAAACACAGAAAAAAAATGCTTTTGAAATTTTTTAGATTCTTTTGTATTTACACGTTATGTTTTTGCATCTTGATCTGATATGTTCTAACATATCTGCAGGCAGAATGCCTTTCAAGTCATTGCTGTGGACGGGGTATGCAGTGGAATTATTCAGTGCCTCTCAGCCGAGGAATCTGTTGACTGGCTACAAGCAATAGCAACGAATATTTCAAATCTCACAAAGCACAATGTAAGTAAGTAGTGATCCAAGGGATATTGATCAGAGAGTTTCTCAGCCTTCATGAAATTCTTCAATATATATTTGACTTTGCATCAGCTGTTCRGTATCTTTCCAAGAATGAGCCACTTCATATTTAGCATGAAAACTCTTCTGAGACACTTAGTAGAAGAAAATCACTTTACCCTGAAAGTCCCAGTACAATTTGTCAATTCAAGAATGTTCAGGCACGTAGGCTTCCATAGCAAATGTCAAAGGGACCTGTTTTCATTCAGTAAACAAAAAATTGTATTTTGGATTAAAAGTTAAATATGTTAAAAATAAGTAAAAGCTTTCTGGGCTAATATGCTACTGAATTTCAACAAAGACTATTAATTTACTTTCAGYGATCTTGGGACTATGGCTAAGAATTTTTAAAGGAATAGGATAATACAGTGAGAAGAGCTACCATGGAGACTGAAATCTTGTGTGGAACTCTTCTGGCCCAAGAACAATAAGAAAACATCACTGTGGGTTCTAGAAACTTGCTCATTAGACCCAGGTCTATATTGATAGGAATTAGCTTCTCTTCATTTCATTTGTTTTTCTACTTCAAACATTTCTTCTCTTCCCATTCTGTGTCTATTTATTGTCACCATCTCATTACCATTACTCTTTAATAATCTAATCAATTCTCTCTTGCTCTCTCACTCCCAGGAGCTGTATAGTCTAAAAAACTAAACAAAACCATAAACCTCTTTTCCTTGAATACTGATGTATTATCATTACAGATATTTGTTTTCAAAAATCAAGTATCTGACATCATCATGCTCTTGTCTTACTCTTATCCTCTGTCCAAAACTACCCCCATGCCATGTTGGAGCAATTAAGATTTCCTAAGGAAAATTCAGAACTCTAATATATAAATGTTTAAGCAGAAATATGTACCTCTACTAACTCATGATTACACAAAGATTTTCTTATAAAAGTGATCTTCTGTACCTGAGTAACTGTACAGATTTTTACTTAAAATATAAGCAAGTATTGTGATAAATAAGTCTTTCTTAAAAATAAGAGGACCAGTGCAGTCATTAAAGCCAATACTCTTGTTTTTAGTTGTGATTATTTCGAGCGATTCCATCTCAATGCCCATGTACATGGTGATGGGATTCTCTGTGAGTGGAATTGATAGCCACTGCATGTGTACATGTACAATTTTTCCAGGTAATGCCAAATGATTTTTTTTTTTCAAAAATATTTACCTTCTTAGTCTCAGTGGGTGACATGTCTATATAGATCCTTCTCAATCCTTGGTATCTTATTGCCTTTATATATTTTTTTGGTAGATGTGAAATTGTGTCTCACTATGCCATGAATAAAGATAAATGGATATTTTGGGAGGGTGGCTAAATAGGTATAAATACCCTGAGCTCTCCTCAGAGGTATGAACCCAGGATAAGGGCTGACTTGGGCATGTCTGACTTGGGTAGGACTGATGCCCACCAGCTGGGCACAGTGGCACATGCCTGTAATCCCAGCAGCTTGGGAGGCTGAGACAGGAGAGTTGTGAGTTCACAGCCAGGCTCAGTGAGGACCTTGGCAACTGAGAGAGACCCTGTCTCTAAATAATATCTTAAAAAAAAAATAAAGAACAGGCTGGGAAGTGGTGGCTCAGTGACAAAGCACCCCTGGGTTCAATTCCTGGAACAACAACAACAACAAAAAAAAGCAAAGGAAAAAAACTGATGCTCACCTTCCAGCCCAATCTTTGATGATCTGACGATGTCATCATAACTATAGTTAAGGTATTGATCAGAAAAAGGAAGGAAGGAAGGAAGAAAGGAAGGAAGGAAGGAAGGAAGGAAGGAAGGAAGGAAGGAAGGAAGGAAGGAAGGCAGACTAGAAAGGCAATGTCTCTCTGAGGATTGTGTTTTTCTTCCCTTTGTATCATGTGGATGTTTCTAGGGATAAAGGCAAGCAAAACAACCATGGGTGAGTATTAACTTTTTATTTCATTGCAGGAGTATTTAGAATGTCTTAAAACTAAGCCATGTCCTATAAAGTACATGAGAAAAAAAATACTTTAAAAAGAACAGAATGTTAAGCAGTAAATCGAATGCTTTACTTTTTTCCTAGATCCAATTTTTCATTAGTCTAAAATCCTAGGAAAGTCTCATGAAAACAACTTCTTTGGAAGGTATGCTCACTTAGAATGATGTGATCCAACTGACAAGCATTTGAAATAGCTTTCTTGAAATTAAAAAAAARAAAGGAGCAAAGATGTAAATGTCATTAAGCTCTATAAGCCTAAGGAAGGATAAGCTTAATTTTACTGTTTACTTTTTATCCTTGCAACAAATGCTTGCCATGAAATTTAGGAAAGCAGATAACACCCTTATTCAACACTGTTTTAACTGCTGGGAGATCCATATGCTTCTTGTGATATTATTGCCATATTATAGAYTTTCTGTTCTTTCACCTCTCCTTGATTATATTCTAATAAATGTCCTTTTGTTCTTCTAATCAGTTTTCAGTAAAAATACTTTTGATCACAATGCATTTCCCAGTGTGAAGTATAATGTGTGAGCTGAAAAGATATTGAACACAGGGAAAGACAATGTGAAAATCACAATAGCTACAGAGGAGCCACAATGATGCCATTGATGAAATATTATTGATATACTTACATAATAGGAAGAAAGAAGTTGGATTGAGGCTACTGAATAATGTTCTGATTAGGATAGACAGTTGACATCTCAAGTTCTCTTATTTTTTTATATTAAAGAGATACTAGAATTACTACCTTGAAGAACTAATTTTTTTCTTGTCAAAATCATGAAATGGTGAAGGCTTATATAATTTAAGCACAAATGGTGTTATCTGTTACAAAGTTGTCTATAAAGGTGTATAGTTGCAAAAAGAAAATATTGGGATAAATATCTGAGAAAGCCCACCAATGAGATTATCAGACATAGCAATAAATTTTAAAACGAGATAAAAATGCATATAAAATAATAATTTTTAAAGTATTAGAAAAACCACACTTCTGAAAAGATATAAAACATGCTTACAAGCTGGGCACAGTGACACATATGACTATAATTCCAGCGACTTGGGAGGGCAGGGCAAGAGGGTCACCAGTTCAAAGCAAGCCTCAGCAATTTAGCAAGACCCTGTCTCAAAATAAAAAATAAAAAGAGCTGGAGATATAACTCAGTGATAGAGTGCCCCTGGATTCGATCCCCGGTGCCATCAGAATGGACAAATAAATAAACATGTGATGATTTGAAGAAAGAAATGTTGAAACCATAACATTACAGAAACTTTTAATGATGGATTATATTTTAGTACAAACAGTTGGAGTACAGAGGAGAAGAATAAAAGAAAGAAAAATAGAACCACAAACAGAAAACCCTATGTTAGAATGACTTTAACAACAGTCTAACCACTAGGTCTCTTTTTGTGCACTAATTTCCAGCAGTGATATAATTTTGAAATGGGGATTTTATAATAAATTTATGTGAAAATTCCATGTAATTATAGCTGCTTCCTGAAGAAATTTGTTTTCTAAAAGGTTCTTGAATATAAAAAATATTTAGTAAAATATAATTGAAAAATGAGTTTTATCATTAATCAGGGTGGATCCTAACTATTCACAATATGTTTAGTAAATAGTATATAGTAGAAAAAGATCCTTCAGGGACTTGTCTTAAAGCCATGCTGCACAGATGCCAACATATTCTAAAAGCTTTTACTTTAGAAAAGGAGGCTGTGATGTTGTGGAATACAACTAATTGTTTCCACCAGTTACCACTGGCATTTGCTATTACTTGGACAATTGTAGACTCAAATCCATTTTGTTTGTTTGTTTGTTTGTTTGTTGTTTTTTGGGTTTTTTTTCTACTGAGGATTAAACCCAAGGATACTTAAACCACTTAAACCGTGAGCCACATCCCCAGCCATTCTTTATATATTTTTATTTAGAGACAGGGTCTGTCTGAGTTGCTTAGGACCTGCTAAGTTGTGGAGGCTGGCTTTGAACTCTTAATCCTCTTGCCTCAGCCTCCCCAACCGCCACTACACCTGGCCTCAAATTGATTCTGAAGATAGAATTCATATCTCCTAGAGTACTTTCGGTCATGGTGGTGAATGATTATAATCCCAACTCCTCAGAAGACTGAGGCAGGATAATCGTAAGTTAGAGGCCAACATGGGCAATTTAGCAAGACCCTGTCTCAAAATTTTAAAGAGAGGCTGAGGTATAAATCAGTGGCAGAGTGCATTTGTGACTTGTGCTAGACCTTGGGTTCTATCCCGCATATCAAAAAAAAAAAAAAAAAAGAATGAAAGAACAGTACTTAAAACAATACTTCCTTGCTCCAAGTTAATKATTTTTTAAATTTTTTTTCTGCTATTCATTATTTAGCCAGATAGAAAGTTGTTAATTTTATTTCCAAAGTTATCTCATATTAAATAATTTAAAAATATGCCAATATTATAAGGGGGTTAACTTTCAGGAACCTTGGAAAGGAGTAAATCCATTTTGCATGTTGTAGGGAGTTGAATATATGGGGCAAGGGGGCAGTCTTTAACAGTCAGGCTGATAAGACGATCCTCGATGATGTTCACCTCCTGGTATTCCCAGCCTTAAGGGATCCCCTTTTCTTAGATGTGAGATACATGGTAAGCCTGGAGGAAGATAACTCACTGGTCAGGGCTTTGGATGAAACCATGGCTTCAGTCGACTCTTGGTTACAGTCTTCTGAAATAGCCAGGGAAAGAAAACCCATATCTGGACTCCTGAGCCACAGGAACTGTGGGATAATGAAAGATTTGCTAAGTCACGAAGTTTTGAAGAGTGATGTTACATAGCATTATGGAGTGGTATCTGTTTCCTTCAGTGGCTATAACAAATTACCACAAACTTTGTGATTTGAAATATTAGAAACTCACCCTCAATTCTGAAATCAAGATGTCAGCCAACTACCTCACTCCTAGACACCCTAGTGGAGAATGCTTCTTGCTTCTGATGA